ATCAACCCCTGCGTTTTAACTCTGAATGTCTTTCTCTTACATCATAACTAAAACCCAGCAGCCACTGCATCATGTAAGCACACCAACAGAAAGCACTCAAACGCTCTGTGAATTGATAACACCCCATTAAACAGCCCACCCTCTGACAACTCTGTAAGAGTAAATTCACTCAGCCAGAAACCAGCTGCACAGTACGAGAGGAAAAATCAATATTCATTTACTGTCATCTTGTCCCCCCTCACCACAACTCCAGCGCCTGGCAGATATATAAGACGAAATTGTTTCAAGAGATTTGCTGTTTCATTTTAAGATGGGCGTTATGGCTTTTAATGGCGAGTGAACAAGAACAAGGGGAAAGGGGCTAAAAGAAAAAAGACTTTTGTTTCAGGAGAGCCCACGTGTGTCTGACTGCTGCAGTGGCTGCTTTCATGTTCGAGAGACAGTGAACTGGCAAAAACAAGGTCACAGGTTCAGTCCCCCTGCCCTGACTGCAATGAGCCTCATTTACTGTGAGGTGCCCTGAGCTTCCCCAAGACAGAAACAATAAATGAGTCGAAACAATGTGGAGAAGCAGCTGGTCCAGCAGCCCGGAGGTGCCCAGAGCCAATGAGATTACACGGCTGGAGGATTTAAGGCCATTGAGAGGAAAATGCACAATAGCAAGAGCCAGGACAAAATAATAGATAGTGTTTTTAAAGATTTACAATATAAGGGTGCCCTGTGGACTCTGACCACCTGTGGCACAGCAGCACGGTGGAGCTATGCTTCAATTCAATGCAATTTAATTCAATTCTGTTCTATTTATACAGCGTCAAATCAGAGCAACGGTCACTCCGAGCCTTTATTTTGTAAGATAAAGACTCCACCATAATACATTGAAAAGAGCAAGTACTGGTGACGGTGGGAAGGAAAAACTCCGTTTTTAACAAGAAGAAACCTCTTACAGAACCAGGCTGAACATCTCCCCTTCAAGGTAGACTCCTGGTGCATATCTGCAATGTGTTTGGTGCTGCAGCTTTTTCAGATAGTTCCCTGGAAGTCCTGTTTTGAACACTTGTGCTTTGAGCCCAAAAGCTGAAATGTAACTTTGGGGTAACGGCAAAGTTGCAGGCAGCCAATTCTGAAAGCTGACCTTGTAGTGAGAGATGCTTTTGTTCTTGTGGACCTAAAACATTTACTTTTAATGCACTGAGGGGGCCACACAGGGGTGGGCTGTGGAACCCTGGTGGCAGGAAGTTTTTGGAAAGAGGAAAAAACATATTTTTGCACAGATGGACATCAGAATTGCAACGTAAAAAGAAAAAAGATGTCCTTTTATAGAATACCATCATGGAAGTAGACCTTTGAAGCCAAACACAAACATTTCCAGGTACAGACATTTAAACAGGCACTCGTGGCTCAAGAGTTGGGAGTTCACCTTGTAATCGGAAGGTTGCCGGTTTGAGCCCTGGCTTGGACAGTCTCGGTCGTTGTGTCCTTGGGCGAGACACTTCACCCGTTGCCTACTGGTGGTGGTCAGAGGGCCCGGTGGCGCCAGTGTCCGGCAGCCTCGCCTCTGTCAGTGTGCCCCAGGGTGGCTGTGGCTACAATGTAGCTGCCATCACCAGTGTGAATGGGTGGATGACTGGTTGTGTAAAGCGCTTTGGGGTCCATAGGGACTAGTAAAGCGCTATATAAATACAGACCATTTACTCTCTCTGCTGTGCATTTTCCACTTTCCAAGGTTTCACTTCACCGTTTATCACACACACAAAAGCAGAGTCAGTATTGCAGTTAATAAAGATAAATACACCAACTGCAAGGCTGGCATTTTATATATATTTTTATATAACCAACATTAGTTTGGTAGTAGAAGCAGAATGTAAACAAAGCAGAGCTCATAGATACTTTGACGACAACATCAATCAATATTAATGGGAGCATTTTATAAACGATTGGGGCATATGATGGTATTATATCTGTGAAATGACATTTACTTTATACTATGACTAAACACAGCCCTTTATATCTTGAGATACCCTGGGTGTTACAATGTAACGACAGAGGATGCATTTGTGAAGCCCAGAACTACCTAATGCTTCATTATGTAGCCAGGAAATGTTCTGGAAACATTCCTCAAAGATTTTGCTCCACATTAACATGACAGCATCACAAATGTGGCCCAGACCTGTTGGCTGTACTTCCATGATGTGAATCTCCTGCTCCACCACATCCCAAAGCAGTGGTTCTTAACCTGGGTTCGATCGAACCCTTGGGGTTCGGCGAGTCGGTCTCAGGGGTTCGGCAGAGCCTCCACCGTGACATGCACGGCTCATTTTGTGCACCAGTAAAAACATATCTATGTCTTGAATTTGAAAAAAATCCTATTTTATTTTTCACTAAAGAGGGGTTCAGTGACTGCGCATATGAAAGTGGTGGGGTTCGGTACCTCCAACAAGGTTAAGAACCACTGTCCCAAAGGTTCTCCATTCAATTGAGATTTGGTGACTGCAGAGGTCATTTGATAAATGTTGCCTTCCTATTAGCGTAAAGCATCGTCCTCTGACATCAACGAGACATTTCCACTCAGAGAACTGCTGCCCACTGGTTATTTTCTTTCTGATATACTCAGAATCTAGCACCAACAACCACACCATATTTAAAGTTGCCTAAGTCATCTTTTCCCCTCATTCTGATACTCAGTTTAACCTTGTTGCCTAGATGCTAAATTGCATTGTGTTGCTACCATGAAATGGGTGGATTATATATATATAAATATAGATAAATACAAAAAGAAAACAACCTTGAGCACAGTCCTAAACTTTGTGCTGGGACCAGCTCCCATCGCCTGTGATGATCGTCTGTCAGATGATTTCTCTGCACACGTTAGAGGACCATGCTGAAATTGGCAGTGCATTGGACTGCAAGTGATCCAAGTGTAGTAAGACAGCTAAACGGGGTCCAGCGTTACAGAAGGAGATGACCTTGAAAAAGAAATTTGCTTGTTATGGTTACTCACAGTGTACTGCCTCTTTTTCCAACCCCCACATTTTCAGAGGCTTTAAGGCTTTTAAACAGTGAGCGGTTAATGAACGACTAGAAATCCAGTTTCACTGAGTTACACGTACATTTGTGCAGGCTAACCAACGCTTCATTAAGCATTTCTTTTTCCCACAGCACAAAAGAAAAGATGTGACAAAGCACACAAAGAAATGTGATCCTAAGCTGACGTGAGATTGCTGTGCTCCACCGCATGAATCAATATCCTTCGCATTATGGCACAGGCCTATACGAAGAGAAATACAACCTCTATAGACTGAAGCAAATAATCTGGAAATATAAGAGGTGTGTTACTGCTTAGTTTATGACGGTGGAGTTTATGCCTTTATGT